GCGATCAGCTGCTCAACGAGAGCGGCGCTGACGGAGGTCAGCGCTAATGGTGCAGTAGGTGTTGCTGGTGGTGGGCCCGTAGAATCTGCAGTGGCTTTTCCTTCTGGAGCCATAGTGATGCAGAGTTTGTAATGGTGTATTAAGTAATCAATAAAGAGGTTGTTCCAGTAAGAACAAGAACTTGACAGGCCTTATAATCCACTCCAGCTCTCATACCATGTTGTTATAACCGAAGGGTCGTAGTGGATAGGATAAGTCTATCAAGTGTGAGAAGACTATGAAGTCTCTGGAATGACCTTGTTAATAAGTTGAAAGAGAACAAGATGATTATACAACAGGAGTACAGAAATATAAATAGCAATCCTAGCTAGCCATGTACTCAGAGGGGTACATTCCCTTATTCACCGAATTACATTGCTACAGTAACCACGACTATTGCCATTCTCGACAATTACCACGTTGCATCTCGTAGCTGCCACGTGCGGTTACGGAGCAGTCAAGGGTCACGACCATTGACTGTCTTCGACTGTTGACCTTTGGGTGACCCTCGATCTTCCGCATGCTCTATATGAGCTACTGCGATATTGATATAGATGCGTTGCTTCGTTATGGAGTGACGCGCGAGTGGAGAGCCTTTGGGAATGTTTCTATAACCTTTTCGGTTATTCCAACACAACACGCGCGCGTGCGTATGCGCGCGCGCACATACACACATACACACATACACACACATACACACGCATACGCACATACACACACATGCATACATACACACACATACATATACACACACATACATACACACACACATATATACACACACATACATATACACAGTTACATATACACTAAAAGGCATAGACACGCACATACATACATGCGCACGCATACACGCAGACGCATACACACACATGCACACATATGTGAAGAAATGAGGAATGATTGACAAAGGGAAAGGTTGGGTACAAGTACAAACCTAGAAATGTGTTGTACCACATATGTGCTACCCCACTATAGCCTACATAGGCTAAGTCATACAAGTCTGACAACATACGCACGCATGCCCATGCACATACATGCGCATTCACGTACACGCACGCACACACAAACAAACACACACACCCACACACGCATGCACGCACTCGCACACACATACACACACACACACATACACACACACGCACGCACATACACGCACAGAGACACACATACGCACGCACAGACGCACATACACAGATGCACACATACACACACACATACACACACACATACACGCACACATGCATACGCACGCATACATATACAAACCTTATCATGCATATCAATGAAGACGTGTTTATCAACAAAAGGAAAAAAATTCATCAATTGGCAGCTCCATCTCATAGAGCGTAGTATTCACTACGATAACACCCTATTATCTTTACCTTGGCGTTGTAGTTTTCGATCAAGCATTGGCACGACCATAGAAAGCTCCGTACCAGAATACTTTGCATGTCAACCACCACCAGTGAGACAGCGTGATGACAATTGTAAGTAACATCTCATTCATCACAATCTTTCAATGGGAATGAGGAAGGGCTCGACATTGGCTATTAGTGTAGTTGTATTCCAATTTCATTTGTTATCTCTAGGCTGTAGTTGGGCATACTCCAAGGAGGACAACACTTTAGGGTCGCATCCTAGTACTAGTATTCATGCTTGCTCCTTAGTCAATCATTCCCGCGTTCTATTTCTAACTTGGTATTAGAGCTGGAGGAATACCATATCCTCGAGGGATGGAGTGGAGTTGATGTCTTTGAGCACCTCGCGGCTGGGCTCCTCATCCACACCGATGGCCATCAGTGTGTGCTTCCTCGGGCCCGTGCGACCCACACTCATGAACGAGATGTTGACGTCGTGTGACCCCGGCAGCATGCACACGGTGCCGATCATGCCCGGCTGGTCCACCTGGCAGCACAGCAGCAGGCTGCCCTCCAGCTCGATGTCCGTGCTCAACCGCCCCACCTGGATCAGGTGTGGCACGCCGTCCTGCACTGACCTGGGCGAGCTGCGTAGCTATCTTGGCTTGCAGATCACCCGGGACAGAGCACGGCGCATCACTTTGACTCAGTCACACATGGTGCACCGGGTCCTTCAGCGCTTCCGCTTTCAGTTCTCCTCGCCATAGCGCACTCCTCTGCCTACAGGCCACTCGCTCTCAGCTCCACCTTTGGACGAGTCCGTAGAGCCGAGTGGCCCGTATTCAGAGCTTATGGGCTGCCTCATGCACCTAATGACGTGTACATGACCTGACATCGCGTACCCTCTCAACATCCTTGCTCGCTTCGTCGCGCCCGGGCAACACAAGAAGGAGCAATGGACAGCTGCGCAGAGGGTATTGCGTTACTTGTGCGGTACATCTGGCATGGGGCTCGTGCTTGGAGGATGGGGTTCAGTGGTACTCATATGACACTCCGACGCTTCTTGGGCCGACGACCAGGCGACTCAGCGGTCGTCACACGGTTACTCTTTCAGTCTCGGCTCTGGTTCTGTCTTGTGGAGGTCCACTCGTTCGTCTTTTGTGCTTTGTTCCAACTATGAGGCCGAGATCTACGCTGAGGCCATGGCTGCACAGGAGTTACGCTGGCTGACCTACATGCTTATCGAATTGGGTGAGCGGCCTCGTTCTCCTCCAATTCTGTACGTCGACAACAAGGCCATGATTGCTTTGTGTCAGAAGCATGGACCAGAGCACAGAACGAAGCACATTGCTCTTCGTTACTTTCTTGTTTGGGAGCTGCAGCCGCGTAGTCAGCTGTGCCTTGCTTACGTAGCCTCTTGGGCCAACACTGCTGATGTCTTAGCCAAGGCCCTTGTGCCTAGTGATCATCAGTGTTTCTGCATAGCTCTAGTCTTCGTGCCTACTCTGCCTCACATGCTGGTTGCTTGACCTTATCTTGTACTGTGATATATCGATATATATATATATATATATATATATATATATATACCTGCATGCTTGCTCTTGCTAAGTTGTGATTAATGTACGACTTCTGCTTTTATAACTCTGCATGTGAACTGGCCTTTGTCAGAATGTGTAGTTTGTCTAGCCTGCAATGGGGTACTCTATAGTGAGTACGGCCCCTTAGGGTTTCCTATGTGTATCCACCTGCTTGCTGGTGCAACCCCTCTTTCCAGTTCTAACTTTCTAACTGCTGTTTCTGACATGCTACCAGAGCGAGATCGCTCTTGGTCTGTGGGCCCGCCTGCTTCCGCTGCTGTCCTGCCTATCGCGCGCCCCGGGCACGCGACGTTATCTTCCTGCCGCGCACCCTGCGCGCGTGGCGTTTTTTCTTCCCACCGCGCGCTCAGGGCGCGCGGCGGTTTTCTGCCCGCCACGCGCCTGCCTGCCGCGCGCCCCGGGAGCGCGCGGCGGTTTCGTCGCCCGTCGTGGCGCCCCGGGGGCCCGCGCACTGTCCCCTCACGTCGCCCGTCGTGGCGCCCTGGGGGCCTGTGCGTCGCCCCCCTCTTCCCGTCGCCCGCCGCGGCGCCCTGGGGGTCCGCGCGTTGCCCCCCTCCCGTCGCCCGTCGTGGTGCCCCGGGGGCCCACGCGTCGCCCCCCTCCCGTCGCGCGTCGTGACACCCCGGGGGCCCGCGCGTCGCCCCCTTCCATCACCCATCGAGGCGCCCCGGGGGCCCGCGCGTCGCCCCCTCCCGTCGCCCGTCGAGGCGCCCCTGGGCCCCGCGCATCGGCCACTCCCGTCGCCCGTCGAGGCGCCCCAGGGACGAGCGCGCCGCCCCGCTTCCGCTCGCCCGCTACCCGCGCTCCTGCCCCGTGCTGCCTGTGTTAGGGTTTGGGGGTGGCGAGTTTGGGTGTGTGTGTGCCGTCCCCTGCTCCTCCTCCTCCTCCGTCTCCCACTGCTGCAGCTGCCGCTGAGGGGGGTGGGTGTGTGGGAGCCGAAGGAGTGGTGCTAGGGGGGTGGAGTGTGAGTGGAGCTAGGGGTTCAGCAGAGGGTGTGTGAAAGGGGTGTGTGCAAGGGGTGTGGGACAATTGGAGGAGGTTGAGTGGAGGCAGCAGTCTTGTCGTCCGCAGCGCCTGTAGTCTGGGGCCCTTGCCGCTGGTAGCTCAGAGAGCTTGCTGCGCCTATCGCCCGTGGGTCCGTTGCTCCTGCCGCTCTTCTTAGCCGCGGAGCCTGTTACTCCTATAGTCCGCGGCCCTTGCCACCAGTAGCCACTGTGCGCGCCGCTCCTGTTGCCTGTGTGTCTGGAGCTTCAGCCGCCGCCTCCCATCTTCTCTCCTCTCACAGTTCCTCCTCCTTCTCACTTGCCCTCTATGATAGCCTCTAGCTTTGCTTATATTTGTGAACTATGAACTGCTGTTTGTTGTGCTGATCATACCCCACTTTGACTATGGGGGTGTGTCAGAATGTGTAGTTTGTCTAGCCTGCAGTAAGGTACTCTATGGTGAGTACAGCCCCTTAGGGTTTCCTATGTGTATCCACCTGCTTGCTAGTGCAACCCCTCTTTCCTGTTCTAACTTTCTAGCTGCTGTTTCTGACAGCCTTCTGGCCGCTTGCTTGTGCTCACACCGCGTGGTGATCTTAAGATCCACCCTGAGCTTTGCTTTGCTTTGTTCTCTTGCTTGAATGGTCTTGTGACCGTTCGTTGTTTTTGCTATCCCCCACTTTGCCTATGGGGGTGTGTCCAATTTCATTTGTTATCTCTAGGCTGTAGTGGGGCATACTCGTACAACACTTAAGGGTTGCATCCTAGTACTTGTACTCATGCTTGCTCATTGGTCTATCATTCCTACGTTCTATTTGTGATAGTTGCATGCCCATTTATGTGTTCATTGTTTTGGGGATCATGAGCATGCGCAACATCACACACACGAGGTTTATAAGGTCAAAATCATGTAAAACATCATTACGAGATATGGCCACAAGTGATGCTGTTATTTGTTAGAAATAACGGTGGTGTGCTCAAAGGGTGATGAGACGCCGGTGTCAACACTCATCATCTCAAATGAGCATTTGAGGAATGTAAACGCTAGAGGCGTGGGTCACCCGCTGACTCGCAGGAGTGAACTGGTCAACCCCCCTATCATGTAGATCAGCTCCACTCACCAAGTTCGTAGAGAACGAGGGGAGGTAGAGACCTGACAGGGTGCCAGAGGGGGCTGCCGGGTACGGTAAGACAGTGGAGAAGCTAGCAAGGATAGGACCCCCAGAGGGGTCCGCCAGGGAGACTGCAACCGGCCGACTAAGCGGCGTAAGCGTGGTGCGGTCTCGAAAGAAGGAGCGGGAAGCACCCGAGTCAAGGGTGAAGGTGTGTAAGGCCTGAGCCGACGTAGTACTTGAGAGAGCAGACTCACCAGCACCTGGGGCAGCAGACGCACTAGCACCTAGAGCAGCAGCCTCACCAGCACCTAGAGCAGCAGCCTCAATGCCCGGGTCAGGCGGAACACACAGGTAACAGTCACCCTCAACACTATCAGACACAGCATACATGGCAGCAAGAATAGCATCATAATCAAGATCAAAGATAGCAACCCCCGCCCTAGACAGCTCTCCCCAGCGAGGGATCTCAGAGGCGTCAGGGAACTGGTGACGCCACGCGTCCGTCAGGCGGCCGAAGCAGTGCTGGGTGGAGTGCGGGCCCCCGCACTGCTCACCAGCGCGGTCGCCGGTACGGAGGACGTAGGTGCAGGGACCAGTACCCCCACCGCGCTGACGCGCAGCGTACCACTCATGAAGCTGCTGAGGGGACAGGGTCTCACGACTGCGCTGCTGCTGCTGGCGCGGACCACCACCGGACCCACTCCTCTGCGCAGAGCCACGACCAGCTCCACCGCTGCCGCCGCCGCCTCCGCCACCTCCGCCGCCTCCGCTCCCTCCGCCACCGCCGCCGCCTCCTCTGCCTCCACTGCTGCCACCGACACCTCCACCCCCGCCACCATGTGAGAATTGAGGAATGTTGAGAAGGAAGAATGAGGGCTTTCACTATAGAAAGTTGGGATACAAATAGCAAACCCTAAACTGGGTTGTACTCACTACAGAGTACCCCACTACAGGCTAAACAGCAAATACATTCTGACACACCCCCATAGTCAAAGTGGGGTATAATCAGCAGAGCAAGCAGTCATAGAGCAGGTTCACCAGTACAAGCAAAGCTAGAGGTATTCACAAAGGGCAAGTGAGGAAGAGGATGCTGGACTGTGAGAGGAGAGGAGATAGGAGGCGACGGCTGATGCTGCAGACACACGGGCAACATGAGCGGCGCGCACTGTGGCTACTGGAGCCGTATCTCCGGACTACAGGAGTAACTGGCTCTGCGGCTAACTCTGAGCGGCAAGAGCAACGGACCCACAGGCGACAGGCACAGCAGGCTCTTTGAGCTACCAGAAGCAGAGCCCCGGACTACAGGTGCTGCGGACGACAAGACGGCAGCCTCCGCTCAACCTCCCTCAGCTGTCCCACCTCCCTTTCACACACCCTTTGCTGCACCCCTAGCTCCACTCCCACGTCACCCCCCTAGCACCACTCCCTCGGCTCCCACACACCCACCCTCCTCAGCGGCAGCTGCAGCAGTGGGAGACGGAGGAGGAGGAGGAGCAGGGGGGGGTTCACACACCCGCCACCCCCATACCCGCCACCCCGCAGTTGCACCCACACCCGCCACCCCCATACCCTCCCCCACTGCTGCACCTGCAGCAGGGGATGGAGGAGAAGGGGGAGGGGGGGGGTGCGGGGGGGGGCTGGCGTGCAGATCCCCTCCCCCCCACTGCTGCACCCGCAGCAGGGGGAGGTAGGAGAAGGGAGGGGGGGGTGGGGCGGGGGGGGTCTGGTGCTGCAGATCCCCTCCCCCCCACTGCTGCAACCGCAGCAGGGGGAGGTAGGAGAAGGGGGGGGGGGGGGGGGGGGGGGCTGGTGCCGCAGATCCCCTCCCCCCCCCACTGCTGCACCCGCAGCAGGGGGAGGTAGGAGAAGGGGGGGGGGGGGAGGGCTGGTGCCGCAGATCCCCTCCCCCCCCACTGCTGCACCCGCAGCAGGGGGGAGGGGGGGGAGGGGTGGGAGGGGGGCGGGGGCGGAGCTGCGCGTGCGACTGTAGGGCACGCGGGTAGGAGGAACCCCCTCTTGCCACCCCCTCACCCACCATGTTGCAACAGGGCACCAGGGCCGCGGTTAGGGGCGGCAGGTCGAGAGGAGCCATGGCTAGGGGCGACGGGGCCATGGCTAGGAACGGGGCCGGGCGCTGGGCAGAAACGGGGCCGGGTGCTGGGCTAGGGACGGGGCCGGGTGCTGGGCAGGTACGGGGCCGGGCGTTGGGCAGGTACGGGGCCGGGCGCTGGGCAGGTACGGGGCCGGGCGCTGGGCAGGTACGGGGCTGGGCACTGGGCAGGAACGGGGCCGGGCGCTGGGCAGGTACAGGGCCGGGCGCTGGGCAGGTATGGGGCCGGGCGCTGGGCAGATACGGGGCCGGGCTCTGGGCAGGTACGGGGCCGGGCGTTGGGCAGGTACGGGGCCGGGCGCTGGGCAGGTACGGGGCCGGGGCGCGGGCTAAGTACGGGGCCGGGCGCGGGCGTTATACGGGCCGAGCGCGGGCTAGGTACGGGCCGGGCGCGGGCAAGAGACGGGGCCGGGCGCAGGCGTAAGACGTGGCCGAGCGCGGGCTAGGCACGGGCCTGTCGCGGGCTAGGTACGGGCCGGGCGCGGGGCTAGGAACGGGCTGATCGCGGGCTAGGTACGGGCCAAGCGCGGGCGAGAGACGGGGCCGGGCGCGGGCTAGGTACGGGCCGATCGCGGGCTAGATACGGGCCGGGCGCGGGCGACGGAATCGACGGGGCCAGCGGGGCCGAGGGGCCGAGCTAGGGGCGACGGGGCCAAGGGGCCGAGCCTGGGGGCTAGGGGCGACGCCAAGGAGCGACGGGCCGGGGCCTAGGCTAGCAGGGCATTAGGTGGTGGGCCCATTAATTTGAGGTCCTAGGAACTATTGCTCTTAATACCATGTGAGAATTGAGGAATGTCGAGAAGGAAGAATGAGGGCTTTCACTATAGAAAGTTGGGATAAAAATAGCAAACCCTAAACTGGATTGTACTCACTACTGAGTACCCCACTGCAGGCTAAACAGCAAATACATTCTGACACACCACTCCCACCACCACCCCCACCCCCTCCACTGCCTCCACCACCACCTCCACCGCCCCCGCCAGCCCCTCCAGCGCCCTTGCCCCCCTTGCCCTTGCCGGTGCGGTTGTATGGACGATGCTGGTGAAGCAAGCATCACAGGAAGAGCAGGCAGGGGGGAAGGGGCAATGTTGTATTCGAAGTAGTTGCTTCATAAGTGCTAACAGCATTACATGAGCTTTAAATATCAGCATCACTCCTAGAGTCCAAAATCGTAGGGTAAGGTACGACAAGTGGAATAAAAGAGTCATGGACTAGGGTGAGTCTCACGGCGTAACTTATTTTTCTACAATGCAAAGAACGTTTTGAAATTAATCATCCCCTCTGCCCCCTCTCAGCCCCACCCCAAACCCTATCCCCAACCTAAAAAAACATGGATGTTTCCCTGTGGTCGGAAGTATGGTAGTTAAGGACAAGGTAGTAAAGGGTGCACACCAGCCGTGTGTAGGTTGTATGGCCACCCAAGAAGCATTGACATGCGTTGATATGGCCAAATCAATGACGAACATGGTAACCCTTGCCGCACTCCATTTACATAGGTAGAACTTCACAATCTTCTGCACAAAGTGTACTTATGCAAGGCATAATGTAAGGTGGTTGTTCAAAGGACTAGCAGAAATGTGACATTCTCAACGTCTACCCTGGAGTCATTACTTGGAGCCCTTGAGTCCATTAAAGAAAAATTCGCCTAAATTTTACAATTTGCGAGCTTGTGGCAAAATCAAATCTTGTACCGTAGCCGAATCAAACCTCATATCATTGCTTTGTTGCGGTTGGGAGACAACAATTGGGAGATACCGACCCGAGCACTAGCTGGCCATTTAGAGGCTAATACATTAGGCATGTGGCTTGTGCTCGGAGGATGACAGCTAGTTGCAAGCACGGGACACACTAACGCATCGTGGGCAAATTCCATCGAGACTCCCAGGTCATGTCAAGGCTACTGCTTGCTGCTCAGGAGCTTTGTTCGATAATGTTCTTGCTCACTGACTTAGGTGAGCCACCGAGCTCAGCCCGGCTTGTTCGCTAATATCAAGGCCATGATCCTTATTTGTTAAGCCTACATCGAAGGGCAGAGCAAAGCACTTCCAGCTGCGATACCTCTTATTGCGTGAGCTGCAGTAGCACGGCCAGGCCCGCGTAGTACCCTTGGCCTCAGGGGTGTTGGAATCTTCTTCTCCATTAGTCTTCCTTGCTCATGTCCTTCTTCTTCCTTTGCCGTTGCCTCCTTATAATCCTAGTCTCCCCTTCCTATTGCTCAAGGTATTTCTGATAGGACTCTTAGTTCTCTATAATGGCTTCCTTCTTTGCCATGTGCCCTATTCTCGTAGAAGCTTGTGGCCCTAAATCAGGTCTCGGAATCTGGTCAGCTTTGCTTGTTTGCTTGGCAGACTCTCCCCTTGGTAAAGCTGTCAAACTCATATGCTATAGTCTGTGTAGGTTGTAGTGGGGTAGACAATATGGGGTACAACACTTTTAGGTTTTCCTACTTGTACCCACCTGCTTGCTAGTTCATTCATTCCTCATTCTTCACATGGTATAGAGCAGGTTCCCTCGTGGGAACGCTTCTCAGGGCCCACAACTGAACTCAATATTTTCTTCCTGCCCGAGGCGCGCCCCGTAGGCCGCCCTCACATCGCGCCCTCCTAGAGGCCCCTCGCGCCACCCTTAGCGGCCCCGTCGCCACCTCTACCGGCCCCGTCGCCATCCTTTGCGGCCCCATCGCCGCCCCTCTAGGCACCTCACGGCCCCTTCGCGGCCCCGTCGCCGCCCCTCTAGGCTCCGTCGCCGCCCCTCTAGGCCCCTCCCGGCCCCTTCGCGGCCCCGACGCCGCCCCTCTAGGCCCCGTCGCCGCCCCTCTAGGCCCCTCGCGGCCCCTTCACGGCCCTGTCACCGCCCCTATCGGCCCCGTCGCCGCCTCTCTAGGCCCCTCGCGGCCCCATCACGGCCCCGTCGCCACCACTAACGGCCCCGTCGCCGCCCCTATTGGCCCCGTCGCCGCCCTTCGCGACTACGTTGCCACCCTTCGCGGCCCCGTCGCCCCCCCTAGCGGCCTCGTCGCCGCTCTTCGCGGCCCCGTCGCCGCCTCTAGCGGCCCCGTTGCCGCCCTTCGCGGCCCCGTTGCCGCCTCTACCGGCCCCGTCGCCGCCCTTCGCGGCCCCATCGCCGCCTCTACCGGCCCCTTCGCCGCCTCTACCGGCCCCTTCACCGCTGAGCCGCCCAGCAGCTGAGCAGCCGAGCCACCAAGCCGCCGAGCCGCCCAGCACCCGAGCCGCCCAACAGCCGAGTCGCCGAGCCGCCCAGCTGCCAAGCCGCCGAGCCGCTGAGCCGCCCAGCAACCGAGTCGCCGAGCCGCCCAGCAGCCGAGCGGCCGAGCCGCCCCGCCGTCGAGCCGCTACTGTTCCTACCGGCGCGCCCCGGCCCTACTTACTCGGACTGGTGAGATCACTCCCTGCTAGACCACTGCTCTCATGAATACCCCCAGTATCCTTACCTTTGATGCTGAGGGTCGTGCTGTTGACTTTGAGGTCTCGGTCGATGACCTCCAGCTGTTCCTACAGTGCGATAGGGCAGACGGACTCTCTCTGTTCGATCTCACCTCTGGTGCCTCTCCTGCCCCGCCAACTACTGCTGACAGCGCTGTTCGCTCACAGTGGGCCACACGCGATGCTGCTGCCCGTCTTGCTGTGCGTCGCCACTTACCGACCACTGAGCGTGTGCACTTTAGTCAGTACAAAAGTGCTAAGACCTTGTACGACGATGTAGTTGCACGCTACTCTTCCCCTGCCACTGCTGCTCTTAGCCGTCTCATGCTGCTGTACCTGTTCCCTGACCTTGCTACCTTTCCAACAGTAGCAGACCTCATTACGCACCTTCGCACTAGTGACACTCGCTACCGCGCTGCGCTTCCTGCTGAGTTCTGTGCCAAGAACCTGTCAAAAGTTAGAAGAAGAAAGAGGATTGAACTAGCAGAAATGGGGATACAAATAGCAAACCCTAGAAGGGTTGTACTCGCTATAGAGCACCCCACTACAGGCTAGAACATAAGAATAACATTCTGACACACCCCCATAGCCAAAGTGGGGTGTAATCAGCAGAGCAAGCAAAGCAGTACAAGCTCAGGGTGGATCACAATGTCACCACACATTCTGAGCACAAGTTCAAGAAGTAAGTTCAAGTGCACAATTATGAGCAAAGCTAGTGGTGGTCACAACGGGCAAGTGAGGAGGAGGAGTGAGAGCGAGAGGAGTTGGGAGGCGACGGCTGAAGCTGCAGACACTCGGGCAACAGGAGGCACACTGGCACAGCGGCTACCGGGCGAAGCCCCCGGAATATTGGAGTAACTGGCCCCGCGGCTAAAGTAGCGGCAGACGAGCATCGGACCCACGGGCGGCTGGCACAGCTGGCTACGACTGGGCTACCGGGCGAAGCCCCCGGAATACAGGTGCTGCTGACGACACGACGGCAACCTCCATGCAGCTTCCCTAACTATCCAACTCCCCCAACACACACCCGCTGATACGCTCCTAGCTCCACTCCCACGCACCCCCCTTAAACCCTAAACCCGAGTCTCCCACACAACCACCCCCCTCAGCGACAGCTGCAGCAGTGGGAGACGAAGGAGGAGGAGAAGGGGACGGCACGCACAAACGACACCCCCACAACCATCACCCCCATACCCGTCACCCCCATACCCTGAGTGTGCGGTAAGCGAGCTCAGGTGTGCGTGAAGCGTGCACAAGCTTACGGGAAGCGAACTCGGATGTGCGGTAATCGAACTCAGGTGTGCGGGGAGGGGGGCCGCAGGGTGACGCGCGGGTCGACGGGGACGGGTGCACGGGTCCCCAGGGGCGGCGCGCGGGTCGACGGGGCCGCCACGAAGGGCGACCGGAAGCCGCGCGCGGGTTGACGGGGCCGCCGCGAAGGGCGACGAGGAGCCGCACGCAGGTCGACGGGGACGGGCGTGCGGGTCGACGGAACGCGAAACCGCCGCGTGCGCCCAAGGTGCGCGGTGGGCAGAAAACCGCCACGCGTCCCGAGCGCATGGCGTGCAGAATACCGCCGCGCAAAGCAGGTAACCGTCGCGCGCCTCGAGGCGCACGGTGGGCAGAAAACCGCCGCACGCCCCGAGCGCGCGGTGGGCAGAAAACCGCCGCGCGCCTCGGGGCGCACGGCGGGCAGAAAACCGCCGTGCACCTCGGGGCGCAGGGCGGGAAGAAAAAATGCCGCACGCCACGGGGCGTGCGGCACAGAGAGTAGTAGTAGCAGTTGCAGCGGAAGCAACGAGGTGGTGAGCCCACCCAGAGGATCGATCCAAGGGGATCGACCTGCTCTGATAGCATGTCAAAAGTTAGAAGAAGAAAGAGGATTGAACTAGCAGAAATGGGGATACAAATAGCAAACCCTAGAAGGGTTGTACTCGCTATAGAGCACCCCACTACAGGCTAGAACATAAGAATAACATTCTGACAGAACCCCCCCCCCCCCCCCCATATACTGTTGAAATGAATGGACAGGAATGATTGAACTAACAGTGAAATCAGTACAAGTACCTAACCCTAGAATTGTGTACCCCCTATAGGCTAACCCACTGTAGCCTAAACAAGCACAACATATATAATGTTTGACACACCCCCATAGGCAAAGTGGGGGAGAACTAGGGGTCACAAGAACAGTCAAGTAAAGCAACGCAAAGCAAGCTCAGGGTGGATCAAAAAGTCACCACACATTCCGAGCACAAGCTCAAGGCCACAAGGCCAGTTCACATGCATGAGTACATATATAAATAAGGCTAGACAAGCAAGAGCAGGTATATATATATATGTAACAGTACAAGCAAGGTCAAGAGGTGAGCAAGTGAGGCAAGACAGGTACAAGACCCAGCTGGGTGCAGAAGCGCTGATGATCACAAGGCGCAAGTGCCTTGGTGAAGACATCAGCAGTGTTGGCCTCAGAGGCCACATACGCAAGCCGCAACTGACCATGCTGCTGTAGCTCACGAGCAAAGAAGTAGCGGAGAGCAATGTGCTTTGTTCTGTGCTCCAGTCGCTGCTCTCAACACAAGGCCAGCATGGCCTTGTTGTCTACGTACAGGACTGGAGGAGAACAAGGCGGCTCTCCAAGGTCGGTCAGCAGGTAGGTGAGCCAGCGAAGCTCCTGAGCAGCCATGGCCCCTGCGTAGATCTCAGCCTCACAACTGGAGCCGAGAACAGAAGTCGAGCGAGTAGCCCGCCACGAAACAGAGCCGGAACCAAGGCTGAAGGTGTAACCCTGTGACGACCGCTGCGTAGCCTGATCGTCAGCCCAAGAAGCGTGTGCGTGACCAGTCAGGACCACTGGACTCCGCCCTCCAAGCACTAGCCCCATGCCCGACGTACTGCACAAGTAGCGCAACACCCTCTTCGCTGCAGCCATGTGCTCTGGTCGGTGTCTCCCAGGAGCAACATAGCGTGCGAGAATGCTAAGAGGGTATGCAAGGTCAGGTCGTGTGCAGGTCATCAGGTACATGAGGCAGCCAACAAGCCCTGGGTACGGGCCACTCGACTCTACGGACTCATCCGAAGGCAGAGCTGAGAGCGAGTGGCGAGTAGGCAGAGGAGTGGCCTGAGGCGAGGAGTACGTGAAGCCGAAGCACTGAAGGACCTGCTGCACCATGTGTGACTGAGTCAGGGTGATGGTGCGGCGTGCTCTGTCCCGGGTGATCTGCAAGCCAAGGTAGCTGCGCAGTTCACCCAGGTCTGTGCACGTGTGTCTCTTCTGCAGCTCGGACTTCACGTAGGCGAGTCCAGCAGTGTCAGCTGTGGCAAAGACCAAGTCGTCGACGTACACGAGGATGTAGAACGGCGGCAGAGAAGTGTCGGTGTGTAGAAACAGCGACGGGTCGGCACTAGCGGGAGCAAACCCAAGAGCCGCAAGTGTAGTCCTCAGTGTGTCGTGCCACTCATGCAGTGCCTGGCCGAGACCGTAGACTGGCTGCCGGAGACTCCACTGGGTGCCAGGAGGAAGAGACCCAGTGAAACCAGGTGGGCGACGCAGCCAAATCTCCTCGTGCAGGCTGCCTTGCAAGAAAGCAGTGCTGAAGTCAAGAGAGTGTAGCTCGTAGCCACGGTGAGCAGCTATGTGCAGCAGTACCCGAAGAGTGGTCATCTTTGGGGTGGGAGAGAAGGTCTGAAAGTAGTCAACTCCCTGCCGCTGACTGAAGCCACGAGCCACGTAACGCGCCTTGAAGACACGCGGAGAACCCGGCGGCCGCTTCACCCTGAAAATCCACATGCCACTGACGATGTTCGCCCCAGGAGGGGGGACAGCGTCAACGTAGGTGCCTGTGGACTTCCAGGAAGCCATCTCTGCATCCATAGCTGCCTCCCACTGAGAAGAGTAGGGACCCTCTATCACCTCCGCGTAAGAGCGCAGAGTCGGGATGTCAAGTGCATCCGGGTCTCCCTCAGGGGTAAGCAGTACGGACACCAGATGAGGTGAAGCAGCGGCCAAGCACTGGAACTCCTCCTGCCTGTCCTCAAGGACGTCCGTGCCAAGGGCACACTCACCCCCGACGGACGGAGGACAGACAGACTCAGACTCAGCGACAAGACTAGCAGCGTAGTCTAGGCGACAGCGAGCAGCAAAGTCGACGAGCTCAGCAACTAGGGCAGACGCAGCAGTGGACTCAAAAGAAGGGTCAGTGACGATAGTAGCAAGGAGACGCGTGACAGTAGGACTGGTAGCACGAAGAGAGTCCGACTCCGGGTCGGGAAGAGCAGGAAGAGAGGACTCAGGAGGAGAAGGCAAAGGGGCACGCAGAGGAGCAGTGGACGGACGCAGAGACATCCGGTGCGTGCTAGGGACAGGAGGAGGACGCTGACGCGAACCGCAACCACTAGTGCGCGCAGTACGGACAGGTGACGCACGGCGAGACGCAGGCTCACGACGCTCAGCAAGACCTCCAGTAGGACAAGTGTAGGGAGAAGGAGCAGGCAGTGGGGAGGCGGGCTGTAACTGTAACCGTGACTGGACAGGCTGTGGACACTCTAAGGGAGGAGGAGGACCGAGAGAAGGCGGGAGACCAAGAACCTGTTGAAGAAGCGGAACGAAGTACGGCCGCTGCCGTGCAGCGACTCCAGAACCAGCAGAGACACCAGCGCCAGGGTCCTCCGCACCAGCAGCAGCTCCAACGCCCGACTCCATAGCACCAGGAGCAGCACCAGCTCCAGGGTCCTCAGCACCAGCAGCA